AATAAAATAACTGCTGAAATAATATGTTATCATGAAAAAAGGTGGCTTTTGGTTGTGAAAAAGATAACTCTTGATTATGAAAAAAAAGTGATTCTTGATTATGAAAAGAAGTGATTGTTGACATGAAAAACGGTGAAGATTCATTGTGAAAAGGGGTGATGGTAAAGATAAAGTACCTCTTCATAATAGATGTGTTGATTGGTTATCTATAAATACCACCAAATCATACATTATTCATCACAATTGTTCAAAATAACTTTTTCTTCGTAACACTCCATTCTTCTCTTTTCACACACACAACTTCGATAATAAGTTGAAGGAGAAATTCTAAGAGAGAAATTGAGTAATTGCTAAAGTCGTTTATCTGCGGCTTTGGTGTATATCCTGGAGGTATATTTGTTCTAAACCCGATGGTAACAATAGTTGGGGCAAATAATACACCAAGGACAGTGATTGTCATTATGCATCAAAACAATCAAATTTCCCCGACAATAACAAGTAATAAGCAAAATAGAATAAAAATAACTTATGCCAGATGGGCCCCGACAAGTCCCATTCTCGCGCTATGCTCTTCCTTGCGACAAGCCGGGCAAGGGCAATCGGGGTGGGGCAAAGGGAACTGGGTCTTCATGAGGCAGTGCAATATTGTCATCTCCATCCACTAATATTTGGAAAAAAGTCCTTTTTCAAAATGGCACCTGTGCTTAGGTCCCCAGTGGCTGTGCCTAGTACCCCGGCGGACATGCCCCGGTCCCTCGAGAGCGTACTCGGGTCCTCCAAGACTGGGCTCAGTCCACGGCGCCCTGGCTCAAGTCCTTGGTGCTTAAATTCAGGACTTGACATTGTACATGAGACTTTACCTCAAATACGTGTTCTATAGTTTTCCTGTAACAAGCATAAAAAAATGACTTTCTTATTATTTACAAAATACAACCAAACATAAGGAAAATGAAACTCTCCTTGAAAATATGTTCTTATAAAAATATTTTCTAACAAAGTTCATTTTTTGCAAAACAAACCAGCCCAATGTAACGTGAAGGCCATTATCATAGTACGTGAGACTTCCTCACTACCCCATTATCCCTCTATCCCCAATACCTCTCTCTCAACCACACAAAGAAGCCCATCTCTCTCTCTCTCCCTCTCTCTCTCTAAATTTTTGGCCTCCCAATCCTTTTTATAATAGTTTCAGTACCTATTCCTTATAATTTGTTCACGCTTCGACGAAACTAAAAAAATCTTGCCAAAATATGATTTACAATTCGAATCTCAACAAATTATGAAAATAACACGTGTAAATTCATGTACCAACTCTTATATATTATGAAATTTTAAACATTCCGGATTTAAAACGTTAAACTACGTAAGTTGAAAGATCTAAATTAAGCAAAAAGTAAAAAATAAAAGTCAATCCAAATACGCCAATTGCAGTAACTGTATTTTTTTGGGCACATGCATTATGTTGTATCAGTTCTAGTATTTTCAATTGTCATTTCCTTATTCGGTCTTCTTTATGGTCTCCTGATGATCATTTCATTATAACTCTTATACAAAAAGATCGGAACACTCAAATACTCACAAACACTTAACTTTGAAAATAATACACTTCATACAAGAGTTGTGACAAAATGAACTTTTATAATAGACACTTTGTTTATGTTTTTTAATCCTGGCATGGCGGATACGCTATTCAGTGTCTTGTCTTGGCTTGCCCTCAACCTCCCCAGACAAATGTCGTGTGATTCTTAGACTCGTCCTTGATATTCCTTTATTCCTCTCCTCGAAAACCACTCTCACGTGTTAACGAGGCTATTTAATTAAGGACACCGACTAAATTCTGCACCATATGTTATGAAAATATACATAAATAAGTGCATTACATGTATTAATAGACACACCAAGAATGTTGAATAGCTGTTCTTTTACTATATGAATTCGTAGTAACATGAAATCAGTTCCTAAGTCTCATCCTTGACTTTCCGTTGCGCACTTCCTGATCAGTTCTTGGTTGTTCTCACGTGTCGACACATCATATGTAGGACATGCATATATCGAATCATTGTTTTCTTTCTAGTTAAAATTTTGCAAAATTCCCGTTTCGTTGGGTCATAGCGGAGCTTTGCTTTTGCTTGCTTAGTGCATCCAGGTTCTTCAATCTTTTTCAAGTTATTTACTTATCGTTTTGATTATTGAGTGATTCACAACTATTTACACATCCGCATAATCACCACTAACGTGTGAGGGATTGTCATCTCTTTAATCACATGTTTATATTGAAACCTCAAGTTATGATTGGTGAGAATTTAGGAGAGTCTACGCGACGCCGTTACCATCTCTTTAATGAGTATCCGTTTGTGCCTGCCTAGTAATCCATTAACTTTCCCTTGGTGGTTCACCTTGAGGAAGGTCACGACATCACATGATATCAGTTGATCATTTTGCATGTGAGTGAGGAGGATAATTAATGTAACAATTAAATAAAAGTGTACCGTAATAATTCTAGAAGCTTTTAAGGAGAAGTGTCCAATCAATCATAAATCTATTGTACGAATGTCAATTCAATACTAAACTTTTAAATTTTGTCAATTTAGTCATAAAATCTTTCTGCGAAATTCTAATATAGTCATTCCAGTCAATTAACGGAAGAAAACACTAACGTGGTAGCATGCCATATAAGACAACCGGCGATGATTGAAACGCCACGTCAACGATTTTCGGCGGAAATTGACTAGGACTGCTTTAAAATTTCGCGTAAAGATTTAAAACTAAATTGACAAATTTTAAAAGTTGACGACTGAATTGACATCCTTACGATAAATTTAGGACTAACTGGGTAATTTTTCCAAATGCTTAAGTTTTCAATATTAGCAACACTCTGTGTAACACATTCCACATTTTTCTTTAGGAAGACAAAAAAAAAATCTTGTACATCTTCTCTATATCAAAGCCAAAAATCCCTTTTTCCTCTCATTTTTATATTTCCCATTTTACCGTCATATATGTTTATTATAAGGGTTAATATTACCGAAAATCCTAAACGAATATACTTGTGACAAATCTACCCCAAACTAATTTTTTAATCACCAAAAACCCTAAACTGGTACATTTTTGACAAATTTATCTTAAATTAATATTTTAACCACTAGAAACTCCAAACTGGTACATTTGTGACAAGTTTACCATCCGTTAGTTTCTATTAAATTGGATTAATACTATGAAAAATCACAAACTAGTACACTTATGATAAAAAGGAGGATAAAACCCCAAACTAACACACCTGTCAACCGCCACGTATCATCTAGCTTAACAATTTGATGGTAAAATCTAGCGGAAACTAACCGAGGGTAATTTCGTCATAAGTGTACTAATTTGGGGTTTATGGCTGTTAAAAAAATAATTCAGGGTAAAATTGTCACAGGTGTACTAGTTTGAGATTTTTGGTAGTATTATTCCTTATTATAATGGTTAAGCTCTTATTGAAGTTGAAATTGGTGTTTAACTTCAACGGCATCCTTGAGTTACATTTTGATTATTGCTTCAGCATAATTACACGCAAGAAACGATGACCCACATTGAAAGTTTCTGTTCATTAGTTTTGACTGATCACAACTCATATTACGTATTGCAATGGTCATGCATTTGGATTTTGCTGAGGACCTAAAACGCGAATGGTCACAATTATCTCAACTACTCATCCACTTTATAAAACTATTTATTCTTTTAACAATTACACGTCTCATTTTTAATTTCCATATACTATCCAAACTAAGCCAAATACACAACGTGGCCTCTACATTGAGCAAGTCGTTAGATTTTACTGGCGTCACTTCATAGAATCAACTTTGATGAACAAAAAGTATTAATAATTTTTACTTATGAATAAAGATAATTATCGGGACCTCTTTAAGCACCCGATTAATGGGAAAAAAATCACTCAAGGATATTTGTGGAAGTCCATGGTGAAATTTGATCAACAGCAACCATTGACAAAATTTTTTATGTCATTAGTAGAAAGATGAATACTTAGGACCTTTTTGAACACCCAATTGATTTTTTAATTGGGCATGGTATACCTTTTTCTCCACCACGCATTGAATAATAACCAATCAAAATAGGTCCATACCACTCATTCACTTTTCCCTTTGTTTCTTCTGCCTATGTGCACCTTTTTTTTAAAAATAAATCGGGAACGAAGGGGGACCAAGATCAAAAGTTCGTATCCAATGGTACAACTCGGGTGATCTTCTCATCCTCAATCCCAGTTCCAATTCCTCTCCAAGGTAGCGAACGCCGGTGTTATCGGACTTGCGTCGTCGAGATTAGGAATGTCGGGAAGAATTGGGCTAATGCCACCAGAGTCACAATAACGTTGGGAAACTTGCAAAGTGTTAGGCAATGATTGATACCTACAAGTCTAATAATGCTGATGGAGGTCTATCGCCGTAGAAATTGTCACGGTGGAGCACTAGAAGTCGTTGGATTTAGGTTCGCTTCTTGGGTGGACCCGTAAAACTAACGAGCGGCTCTCAATTCTAATTTTTTGGAATCGATTCTCAGTAGGCGATATCAATATTTCAAAACCGCTACCCCAACCATGCTCACCCATGAATAGCATCATGCTGATACAATCAAGTGAGCTGCGCCTTAAATTAAAGAGGACAGTTGTTTTAGGCGTGAATCCTTAGGCCAACCATGATGTTGCTCTTTTTTCTTGCTCCACTCGCCCGTGTTCATGAAAATTGAAATTAGCGCCGGCTCGGCTACGAACGCTTGCCGCTGTCGGGAGACTACGAACGAAACCACCCCACGCGCCGTCGGGGTTCGTGCCAGGCACGGTCCAATCAGCGTGCGGGATTGACAGCATTACGTGGCACCTCCCGTCGTTGGAGAGGGGCCGTTGAGCTTTCCATAGCCGTTAACCTATTACAAATTTTCAGGAATTTATCTTTTTTTAAAGAAAAGAGGAAGGAAAGAGAGAAGAAATCCAACTTTACAGCAAGAAGCGCTCACGCGCACGCTCACGCACCCCCACTTTCCCACGAGCGCCACATTTCTTGCCACTCCTCCTTCTTCATCAAATCCCTCCCTGCAATCTCTCTCTCTCTCTCTCTCTATCTATAACTTACAGTGAAGGAAAGTCTGTGTACAGTTCGGCCATGGAAGCTTCTTTGCTTCATTGAAGTCCCTTTCTTTTCTTTTCTCTTTCTGTGGTTTCTTGCCTTTCCTTTCACACCCATCAAGGACTGGGAACCCCAGTGTGTGTTTATAACTGACCCACCAAGCAAAGAAGCGAGGCAAGAGTAACTGAGCCACCCAGAGAGAAAAAGAAGACATGGTCCAACGCCATTCGTGATTTTGCCACCACTCAGGGACAGGGTGAGGGAGGGAGGGAGAGAGTGAGGGGGAGAGGGGAGTCGCACGCCTCGCCTGCCATCATGAACGTGCCGGGCTCCGAGCTCTGCCACAAGTTCAAGCGCCTGAGGCTCTTCGAGCCGTCGGTGGGAGTGCTGGGCTTCGTCCTCGTCGCCTTCTGCGTGGTCTGCGGCTTCTTTTACCTGGATTACAGGAGAGGGTACGGTAAGTTCTCCGGGAGATCAGAGAGGTTCGTGTGGTTGCAGTTGCACGGCGATAACGACGATCGGGGAGTCAAAAAGTTCGACTTTTTGGAGAGGAATGGCGATGGTGGGTGCGATTTGTTCGAAGGGGATTGGGTTTGGGATGATAGCTATCCGTTGTACGAGTCCAGAGACTGCAGGTTTCTGGACCAGGGCTTCAGGTGCTCTGAGAATGGACGGCCCGATTCGTTCTACACCAAGTGGAGATGGCAACCCAGAAAGTGCAATTTGCCCAGGTTCTTGAATATTTAGTTTTTTGCTGTCTCTGTTTGCAGTTCTTGCTTGAGAAATTTTGGTTTTGGTCTGTTCTGTCGGAACGAACTTCTGAGGAATCAAACGGGGTTGTGTTTTTCAATTATGACGGGTTATGGTTATCAGGGGCTACTTGTCTGCCTTGTTTTTCTTTTGTGTAGTAATTAATCCGTGGGGCCTTTTGCCAAGGGGTCTTGATAAGATGTGGTTGAAATTGAATTTGAATTGAAGGCTCTTGCACGAAAGTGGCGAGTTTTGTTTGATTTTTTAAGTACATTAATCGAAACATGCAATGGAATTTATTTCTTTTTGTCAGAATTTTTGTGCTAGCGTTGGTTGGTCAGAAAAGTCGACGAATTTTCGGTGGATATGACGAATTTACTTTTCACGTATTGTCACAGTATTTACACCTTGCATTTTGTTTGTTTCCTTCACGCTGATCTTGTTTGGAGGGTAGTTCCACATCACTAAGCCCCTCCCGTGACTTTTTTTTAAACTGACTTGAAGCTTTCAGGTGATGAAGACAAACTCTCTCTCTCTCCCCCAACCATCAATTTGTCCACTTTTTTTACCATGTTTGTTAGTTTACAGATTGACAGATTGGATTTTATCTAGAAACCATCGGGCTGAATGGTGGATTTCCTAGTTTAGTTTCATTTCTTTTCTTTATTTGTTCTTGTTTTATGCTAATGAAACATGGATGTGATGAAAATTACAGAAGTTGAGTTACTCAGAACTTTAAATTGAACATACTTGACCATAATGTGATCAGTCCACGGCACCAGAGAAGATACACTTGGATTCCGCATGTGATGTAAAAGCATGAAATGTTTGATGTAATGTTAGTTGGTGATGCAGTTCACGCTCTTGCTTTGATATTGACATTGCAAAACTTTGGCCTACGAACATTGATAATGTCTAGTAACACCAGATTTGATGCGAAATTGATGCTGGAGAAACTGCGGAACAAGCGGCTCGTTTTTGTGGGGGATTCTATCGGGAGAAACCAATGGGAGTCTCTCATGTGCATGCTCTCCTCTGCAGTTTCTGATCAGGACTCGATCCATGAAGTGAATGGTAGTCCGATCACAAAGCACAAAGGGTACTTGGTTTACAAATTTAAGGAGTTCAACTGTACTCTGGAGTACTACAGAGCTCCGTTTCTCGTGCTGCAAAGCCGGCCTCCGCCAGGATCGCCTGATAAGATCAAAACGACCCTGAAATTAGATCGGATGGACTGGACCTGTTCCAAGTGGAGAGATGCAGATGTGCTGGTCTTTAACACTGGGCACTGGTGGAACTTCGAGAAAACCATAAGAGGGTAAATTTGATCTGCTCATGCAAATTCTCCCTTATTATCATCTATCTCTAATTTCATTACGATGAGTATATGTACACATGGATACATGCATAGTTCCTGTTGACATATCCATAAAACTACTGTTGCTCATTTTTGATTGGGAGCTTTTGGTTGGCCTTGATGAGACCTTATGTAATACCTGTTTGGTAGCAATCATTTACAGATATAAGCTGGTTGGAATAAGAATCGCAGAGGTTCTTTCCTAGACTTAGACAAATGTGAGCATAGGGGTGGTTATAAATGACAAGTTTAATGCGCAAGTCGGGAACTCTTTCAAACTTTGGAATGGTCGATGAGGTGTATGGTTTGCTACAGACTTAGCACCACCTGACTATGATGGAGGAGGGTCCTTGGAGGTTGGCTTCTAGAAATCTATTTTGCTGGGTTTGTGTAATATAGCTGCCCTTTATGTTATCTATCTCTTTCTTGATCAGCGAGACTGTAATGTTTTAGACAGTGCTGCAAAGCTCTTTGATTAGCTTGTTAATGCACTCTCCAACTTGCTGTTGCAAACTCTGAACCAGTCTGGCCATCTAGTGATTTGACTGACATGAACGTAATATCGGGTTAGTATGGTGTCGGTTAATTTTGCGCTCTTGGCATGCAAGTTCTTTGAGTCATGGAAGAGCTAGTTGTTAGATAAAGCCTGCAGTAGATCATGATTTTGATCTTTCATGCCCTAGCAACTGTCTCATATTGAATTGCATTACCATCTGTCAGTGGTTGTTATTTCCAAGAACGGTCGGAGGTGAAGCTGGAAATGGCAATAGAAGATGCGCATAAGCGAGCCATAGAGACTGTCCTGCAGTGGATCCGCAATGAGGTCAATACAAACAAGACACAGGTCGTTTTTCGCACATTCGCACCGGTGCATTTCAGGTACATGCGCTTCCTTGATAAGTTACTATGCCTAGCTTATTCAGTTGCTCAAACTATGTGATCCAGACACCCAGAAAGCATCATTATATTAAAATATTAATAAATGGACCCCATTTTTATTTGCATCCAATTAAATGCATTTAGTTGACTTTCTACTTGGTGTAGTTCACGAGTTCTGACATGTCATTGTACTTTTTGGTCCTTCACCACACCGATCCTATAACCTTCTTGGGATAATATCATGTCTGTTTATTAAATCGACCGTGATCTAATGTCTAAGAGCAAATGCTATTCCTACGATCCTTGTGCACCTGTTCAATGTTTAGCATTCTTTCCACGCCAGAGTTTAACTTGTGAAGCCATAGTCAGGTGACTGTTCCTAGGTTGCATTGGATCACTCTCTCTAAGTTCTTATACACGGGGAAACTAAATGGTAAACGGCTCTCTTATATTAGAATTGGCTACTGCAATAAAAGGGCTTGACATTTGGAGGAATAGAATACAGATTCTTTCTGCAAGAAATGACCAATTGGTGACAAATTTTACAGAGGGGGGAACTGGAGGAACGGAGGAAGCTGTCACTTGGAGACCCTGCCGGAGTTGGGCCCCTCATCAGCCACACCGGAAACATGGTCTCAATTCAAGGTTGTCTCTGACGTATTATCAGCTCACTCAAGTGCACCGATGGCAACCAATTTCGATGTGCTGAACATAACTCACATGACTTCTCGGAGGAAAGACGGCCATGCTTCTCTTTATTATCTGGGCTCTGATACTGGTCCTGCACCTGTTCATAGACAGGACTGTAGCCATTGGTGTCTGCCCGGAATCCCGGATTCGTGGAACGTGCTACTTTACACACTATTTCTTAAACATGAGGCTAATAAGGATCGATTATCGATGAAGTGATGCGGCAATTTATGCACAGAACTTGACTTCAGTCAACCACAGGATCACTGCAATATATAACTGATGAAGTCGCAGTGTCTGGTGAAGGAGATCAATATAAGGGATCGACAGACAGAAGTTGCATATCAAGTCAAGAGCAAACCGGATATTCTCTGTACATGTTGCACATACTGAATGATTGGCCAGCTGAATTGTGAAGACACTTCGGGACATTTGAGGAATAACCGAGTGTCTAGTTGTAGAGAAGCATTATAGTGATTGGCCAGATTCGCCATTGGATTAGGCGGAATTGATCTTTTTTCCTGCAGAATTTGTAAATCAGCAAAGCGGTTTTGGTTTATCCCGGTTTTGGCTTTACAGAAACCGAACCTTTTCAGTTCCGTTGTTGCTGGTGAAGACAAATACACATACCTGGGACGAGCATTTTACTCTTCTTTCTTGAAGTCAATGCGTATACTGTACATACTAATCAGTCGCTGATAGCATGTTGATAAAGTGTAACAAGAGTGGAAGACCGCTTACTGGGATTCATCTTCATGAATCAGTCGCACCCATTTCCGACAGTTTAAAAATGTCCAATAACCAATACCTGTTAAGCATGTTACAGATTGTATATATATATTTTGGTCTGAGCAGATTGTATATTCAAGAGCACAAAAATATCTAATATGAAATAACAAATAAGGATAAATGTATTGGAAGTCCTATAATTTGTCAGGAAAGTGCCATTAAGTCGTAAAACTTTTAACTAAGTGCAATCAAGTCCTAAACTTGACAAGTTGGTGCAATCATGCCTTTCTATTAACTCTGTCTAATTTAACAAACGAAAAATACTAACAAGTTTTAAGACTTAATTGTATTAACTTGATAAGTTTTAGGATTGAATTACACTTTTTAAAAGTTTTATGAGTCAATTACACTTTCTTGACAAGTTTTAGAACTTACAGTACACTTATTTTGAACAATTAAGTAATGTTAGAAACTTGATATTCGTCGATTCACATTTTCTCACGACAGATATCAAATCATTTTTCTTTTTATTTTCATCCTGCTGTTTTTTAATGCAACGCCTGTGCGAAGAAACTAATAAAAGAAACACATGACATAAACATCAACTGTACTGTGAGAAAATTACGCCGTATAAAGAAGTCGAATTAATTAAAAAACTGGGTAAGATAGCTTTATATGATCGCAAAACACGCCGAAATCTTCCGGATTCTCAACTTTCAAGTGAAGCAACATGATTGATGCATGTAAAGTTTATTGTGCTTATAAATGAATACTTGCTTGTACATCAGGAAGATTTAAAAAACCATCCTTACTTTTAACTTTCATGCCAACATGCATCTTTAATTTTTTAAAATCTGTCGTTTATGTCTTCAGCAAAATTCAAGTCATCTGCCCATGTTCCACAGCCAAATCCAACCGGCTGCCGTCCCAGCAGCAACCACCATCGACCGACGCACTGCCCACTACCGCAGCACCCAACACCACCACCACTCTCCCCCGTTCTTTCTCACGCTTGAGCTCTAAACAGAGCTCGCCGGGGCTCCAGCTATGCACAGGCCGCTAGCTCCTCGTGGCCATGCCGAGCTCTGATCAGTACTCCACACAGGGCTTGAGGTCTTGGCGATGGCCAGCTTTATTTGGAGCTCGCCATCACTGCAAGGTTGAGTCCCACACGAAAATCGATGTCAGGCTGTCATGGAGGTCGGGACTGTCACTGACCTCCGGTCTGAGGTCAGCGTGTCACAAGCCGACACTTGAGATCACAACGGCGCAATACTAGAGTCGCCTAAGCTCACCCTTCCTCTCGATCCGTTGCTTGCTCGCTCACTTGGTCCATCCCGGATTGTAGAGAGAAACTCAAGAAAGATGAGTTTTTTTGGGAGAGAATGCTCTAGTGCTTGTGTTGGATTTGTCGAATGTTACAAATGAGAGGAAGGGAGACGTATGTATACATGAGCCCCTCAAATTGCAATGGTAATCTCCCTATAATTGAATGATGGGATCCAATATTTCCATCTGCCACCTACCCTAATAATTACATGAATTCTCTCGAAAATGAGTATAATTCTCACATTACCCTTTAAAATATTTTAAAGAACTCACGAAATCCCTAGACTCTTAGAAGCTTCAAGGCATGCCCGGTAATTTTGGTCACCCCTCGGCTTATTGTGCATCGAAAACCTCCGGTCTATGACATTCTCGCCCACCTACTTGAGCGATGTCTTAGACGCTTTCAATTCGGAGTCCTTCACTTGCAAGATTGCATCCTCCTATGGAACAACTCCCTCAGAGGTTAGCAATTCTTACGTCTCCCATGTCATTTATTATTTTCTTTCTTGACTCCACAATTAGGATAATTGCCCAAAAGGTCCTAAACCTATTGTAGTACATCCAATTCAATCCTAAACTTTTCAATTGTGTCAATTTAATCTTAAACCTTTTAAAAATTTGCTAATTTAGCCATAAAACGTCCAAGCACGAAAAGAGTTAGATTCAACTACATATATTTCCAATTTTGTTTACATGATGCTAACAACATGAATCTGACATAATAGCATATTCGCAATCCAAAATCAAACTACGTCCAGTCATGAAAAGAGATAGAATCAACTAGCATTTTCATATTTGATATCAATTTACAGTATCAATTACTTCTGTAGCAATATTATGCAAAATTGCAATATAATCTGACTGACCAATTTGAATATGCTGGGAAAGCCAACGAAAAGTACGACTGTGAGTTTAATTCTTGATGTAATTATCCACAGTTTGTTAGAAATAAGATGGTAAGGATGAAGATTAATAACAGAGAGAGAGAGAGAGAGAGAGAGAGAGAGAGAGAGAGAGAGAGAGAGAGAGAGAGAGAATAAAATTGTAATGAGAGACTTAAGAAGGGAAGAAAAATGAGCAAAAGAAAATAGACAATACATATAAATTTTATGAAAAAGATAAAATCCAACTGAATATCATCGCCCAAATAATGTTAGCAAAACCCAAATGTGTGAGTGCTGCTAAAGTATATTTAGTGGATTTTTTTAGTTATCACAGCTTTTATCGTGAAAATAAGGACAATCTAAGCATTGAAGTGTATTTTTTTTCTCAAGAGAGTCATCATAGGTATGGTGTTCGCATCATAATGTTAACAAATCAATCATGTAACCAATGCATATAGAACTTTCTATTTCCATTGAAAGAATCTCTCTATTCTAATGTGTATTGCATACGTATAAATGTAAATATGTGTGTGTGTGTGGAGTAGGAGTCCTCAACTTGCAACAGAAGGACTTATTCAATCACATAGTTTGGATCCTTAAATATGACGCCCTTTGGAATTTCTATTTGATTGTATCAATTAGGGGTGAGAGGTTTCAGGTTCCGTACAAGTTCCACCTGGAACCTGCTCATGGGAACACATTCTTCATTTTTTAGAACCTAGAACCTACCCTACATACCTTGGAACCTAGAACCTACCATGTCACAAGTTCTAGGGTTTACCTAGCTTCCACCGGTATTATTAATTGAACAATTGTAGTAAATCATCACCTTTGATGATCATCACTTGCTGTTACGATCCATTAACCCCAACTTATATTCAGAGATACTAATAATATAAAATATTAACAAGTCATATAATAAAAGCTCAAACTAATGGTTTTAGATTATACACTCACCACCTAATGCCATGGAACACCACAGGATCACGCGAAAACATAGACCAAGAAAAAATACAAAAAACTTATTTAAGATTCCAAGTTTTACGTTCCAGGCGTAGAACCTGGAACCCACCTGTCGAAACAGATTTTTTAATTTTTGGCACTTGGAACCTACCGTGCATACCTTGAAACCTGTAACCTATAAGTTTCTACCAAGTTCCAAGTTCTCTCCTGAAACATACTCATCCCTAGTATCAATAGCCCAATGAATTGAGATTTCTCTATTGGGTCAAGTCATTTTGGGGCAAGCATATTATTTATGATGAAAATGGGGAGCTTCAAGGGAATGAGTCGGAGTTCTTGTAGAGTGAAACCATGTAGTACCAAATACGAAATAGATCTCCAAAGTACAATACTTTTTTTGAATGAGATATGTTTGGAGTTACTAATTACTCACGGCTCACACCTCACAGTGCCCCGATTAAAGCTAACTAATATCTCTAGGTTCATAACATAAACTCTAATACCAACTTTGTCATACATAAATCTATCCTAAGAATTTAGAGAATGATCGGCCAGCCTTTAAAAAAGAACAAAGAAGGAAGACTTCAGTCAAAACCGGCGATTTTGAAAAAAAAAATATATTGACTAAGCGAAACCTTTTATTGTATGATATTTATAACGAAATCCAATGAATCAAGTTTTAACCAAAATTTGGAAATTCATTAACCACCTCCGAATCTCTCTCGACGTGTATTTAGAGTAGAAGTTGAGGATTAATGCAATTTTTGAAAATTTGGTCAAGTCCATTGAATCAAGTTGAGTTGTGGAATGGTTTTCAAAACCGTTTTGGGGGTAAACATAAAGAAAAAGATTAACAAAAGGCCACCTTCTTCTAAAATGATTGACATTTGAGTAACAGCATATAAATTTGGAGAATTGATTCATATTGCATTTATCATGTGATTAGGACTTTCCAAAGTGGCCGCTACTTTTGCGGAGACACCACATATATTCCTTTTCTTGCAACGAGAAGAAGCCAATTCTAACAATCAACAATTCTAGGTTACAAGTAAGGAGGAAACAATTAGAGAAAATACTGTTATAATATATTTAAATAGGAATAAATAGGTATATCTTGAAAAATTAAATATAATGACCTTAAAGTAGCCACCCAAGGTGGTGACAGACTGCTGGGTAGGTGTTTACAAATGGATAGATAGCATCACAATAGGCGATGTAGTGATGCTAGGAATGTAATTTGAGAATTCTGACAGATGTTAATATCGTTTGCCATTGGAGACGCAATTTCCTGCACAACTTGGTCCTATTTTCTCCTTCGCTTCTGGGCCTCGGAATCTGTCAGATGAAAATAAGCTGCTAAATAAATATCTGTGTCGCTTCAGCACCAGCACTTTCATTGCCTTTGCAAGCATGTTAGACGAGTAAAAACGCTAGAATCAAGTAATGTCTTGGACAAACCAATCGCGGACCTCACACCCCACCTTCCACGTTGAAAATTAGGCTCGCATGCATTGATTAGAATTCCTATATTCAACAACTCTACTCGGTCAAAGAAGCTGAAAATTCAGTCTCATAAACTTGTTATACAGTTTTATGATGTCTCTCGCCTTGGAACAATTGGAGTAATATCTACTGACACACACATACACACAGAGAACAAAAATGGCGGAAGCTGTCCTTGGGAGCATTGCTGGAGAGATCGTTGCTAATCTGGTTCCTAGAGCACTAGAAGAGGTTGGAAATTTGTGGGGCGTCAAGCATGAACCGGAGGTGCTCAGGGACACTATCTCCACGCTTCAGCCTGTGCTGGACGATGCAGAGGAGCAATACTACCAGAGTCGCCAAATCCAA